CTCCAGTGATTTGTCGTATGTCGTATAAAATGTGTTTCTTAACAAATACCTATCTGAATCGGAGATCTTTGAAAAAAAATCAACAAAATGATTTTATGATTGCGGCTGAAAAGTGGTGGATGCGCTGGGTAGGCCCTCCCCACACCCGTTCCTTTTCTTCCAGTCATAGTCTCCATTCGGAGCAAACCGAATCCAATATCCGTAGGAAATGACCACAAAAGGGCGTCGGAGATAAAGAAGGGGTTCATTTGATCAACGCGCTGACGGCAGGCCACCCATCCAACGTATATGACGCGTATTTGAGGCAAGCAACTAGTTGAATCCAAGGAAGTACAAACGTGTTGTCATCTGGGTTGAATGCGCAAGGATCCACTTGTTGTGGAGATGCTAGGAAAACCTTTGACCAAAAGCATATTCAGCAATCTTTTCTAGAAGTTTCACGAACCTTATAGCACGAAGTTCGTCGTTGGAACGTGAAGCAATTATTTCGATCAGCACTTTCTCATTTGTACCAAAACCCTGAAATAAATCACGAATAATATCACGGAGAGATTTGAATCTTCAGTCATTTGAGACCCTTATTTTTGAGATTATTGATTCGGTCTCCAAAAGTGAATTTGGCTAGTAATTTGAGGCGGGGGTAGCAGGTTGGCTAAAGACAAACGTTTCATCAGAGAGGATTGGAAGAGTGTGACGAAAGTAGTGCAGATGTCGGTACCATCATACTTGAATCACCGAATTCAGTGGCAACCGGCCCTCTCAAGAATTTTGACCCGCTGTCCTCAAATATCGGTGAGGCTAGGCATTCAAGCAAGTGAAAGTGCTTTGAAAACGTAAATGGGTGTGGAAGGAAAAACAGAGGTAGTAGTGAATCCATAAAAGCTATGAGGGAGGCGAGTACAAGCGGGGTCATAGTGCAAGGGGTAAAGAGCACAGTGACGGACAAGTACGAGTTCGACTCCCGTCCGAAGACGGAGTTTCAGGTCACAACTCGCCACCCTTGTGAGAGAGACGGTGGTGGTGCTTAGCTTTCAAAAGAAGGGATAATAGTTTTGAAGTTGCAAATGAAGTCCAAAACTGGAACACTCCGTTATCGATTACCTTCATGGCTTTCTGAAGGTCCAGTACGTCTCGTTTTGTTGGAGTCTGCATCAGAGCCACTGAAAGTGAATGAAGTTGTCCACGAATCCTGGGCCATCTTAGAGCCCTCGCACAGGTTATTTCTAATGAACTACTTTCAGTGTTGATTATCACCTTCATCATGGAGCTGCAGATTTGAGTCTTCATTCAAATGCTGGTGATCTCATAAGTTCCAAAACAAAGAACTGGATCTAGTCAGGAGAGGTTACTTACGTATGACGTCTTCCAGATCGCCCGATAACTCTCTCCTTAGCTCGTTTTCGAGATCCTTTCCATAACGAACCTTGTAAGGTGTCCGAATCTGAAGAATAGAATCAAGATAAGCATGAAGGTATATCCCACAGCTCTGGTTTTGAAGGGGCACCCTGGGAAGTTCTGCAGCGGTCTGGCAATGAGAACGTTCGACATCGACAGTATATACGGTTTTGACGAAAATTCCAATTTTTCAATGATTATAGAATTAATCCACCAGGTTCTAATCAGAACTCAGTTAATGATGAGCAATCATTAACTGTTATTATTATTTTATTGATTTATTATATTTTTTTTTATTCATTTTTAATCGTAAAAGTGAAAAGTACAGTAAGAAAGTAAAAAATTCGGTGATCTGTAGGCACCCTTCACATGTTTGAGAGAGAAGAATACAAACACTGTCATGAACGTATGCGCGCAAAATCGATATGCATTTCGTACTACAGGTGGGAGAGCCTTAGGATAAACACGTGCCTTAATAGTACTCTTCCAGTATAAGGACATTGTGTTAGTTCAATCCAAGGATGAATCTCTTCCCTTTGGATAAAAGAGCATGGATCTGAGGGATATATGGTTCTAGATGTCATTGCCCGCTCAATCATTTACTTGTTTATTTATTTATTTATTGGTCACACCATAAGAGTATGCCATTGAAGCAATAATACATTTGGCACAGATACCAAGCAATGACCCACACGACAGAAAAAAGAACCTGTTTGAAGCTGCAGTCATGACCCACAAGGCTGAAAAGACCTCGGAGCTGGAGGCACGATATAGACTATTCCACTCCTTCAT